GGACACAGTGCTTATTGTGGACTCTTGTCTGAGGAAAAAAGAATCCATGTATGATGTCATGTGGACCAATGTTTTATAATAATCCCCCTTCAACAAGATTGATGGTATTTTTTCCAGTATAGATTTATTTTTACTATGGAATAGATTTATTTTAAGTGTCTGTTAAACGTTCAAGTACTATGGCATATTACCAAATTTTGAAATTAAAATTAGACAATATATTAAAGCCAGTCTATGGTCCTCGAAGTACAGCATAACCTTACTCAGCAGGCAGAGGTATCTCTAAGAACCTTATAATTAAGCTTTGTGCATCTCTCTTTGAGCACCTACTGTGTACCTGAGACTGTGGTAGGTGTTAAGAAAATCAAGGGAACCAGACAGACATGGTTCTTGCATTCATGGAACTAGAAGAGATAGACACAAACAGAGAAATGAAAGAAAATAATAATTACCTCTTATCACTAAGTGGATAAGTGCTGAAATACAGAAATAAGGGCAGGACCCACTGCAGATAAGGTGGTGAGATCTCACTAAAGAAATAAGATATCTGAATGATAATCTGTTTTAATCTCACTCAAGATGATTTGATGCTATTGGATTATAAAAATTCAATAATTGTTTACTATTGTCTAGATAACTAGGGGAAATGCATATCATTCTTTCAGACACTTCTGTAACAGTGACCAGAAGAAGGTGGGGGGGGCCAATATTAATTAGTGTCCATTATGATTCAGGCATTGTCCAATTACACATTATCTCATTATTATACCCATTTTAGAGATGGAAGAAGCAAGCTCCTGAAAGGTATAGTATCTTGTCCAAGGACACAGTCAAAAGCTCTTTCCTCTATATCAGGGTCTCACCTACATCTGTGAAGGGTGATACATTACTCCCTCACCACCAATTGGATTAACTTTAAAATAAGGTCACATGAACTGCTTAAGTGTCTCAAATTGTTTTCATTATTAAAGCATCTTTTAAATTAATGATTCCAGTGCACGGTCCTTGTAAATTAACATCTGGTAACATATTTTACTGGAAAAGGAGAGAACACATTTTGTGAGTGCTGCAAACATCCCACTGCCACCTGATTTCACCCTGTCCCATCATATCTATTTGCTGTATTCTTTTCTCAAATGTGCATGCAGACTTCAAGATAAAAGGTTCACGTTCAAGTTCAATTTAACCACGGCAACAGCCCCGTTGTAATCTTGCCTGACTAGTCTCTATCTTATCTATTTTATAGCCTCAAAGAGTTAATGATTCATTCATGATTCAACATTTATTGAGGCGTCAGGCACTACACTGAGTGCTGGGTACAAAAGACCGCCTGACGTTTTTGAGAAGTCTGTTCTCATCACTCTAGGGCATTCTAAAAGGAAGCTCTCTCTTACTTTTCCCACCCTATCTCCCCGCTCGGCCCTGGGAGGGATTCTTAAATGGTCCTTGGAGGTGGTTCATCTTTCCGCGAACTGGAAAGAGAGTGGGCCCGCAGAGCCTGCCCTGACCCAAAGATCAAAGGCGTGTCCCTACCAGACGCCTGGAGGAAGCCCGGCGAACTCTGAAGAATGCTGCCGGCACCCAGCGAGTTTCCAAGGGCAGAGCCAGCATTCGGAGCGAAAGATGCAAAGCTAAGAAAGGATGTTGGCAGACCAGCTGTGCCCCTCTCGCAGCAGAACCTGCCCTGCGCCTCATTCCTGAGCCGGCGGATCCACAGCGGGACACGCTCTCGCTGGCCCGTAGATTGCAGCCGGAAGGGGACGGAAAGGAGGCTGCGCTGGCTGGGGCTCAGAACTCCTTCCTCCTCCCGCCTACTTCCAAAAACTCTTCTCCCAGGCAGGGAAGCCTAGGAGGCTGCTTCTCTCCCCTGCCTTTGCGCGCAGCTCCCCGCTGGCCGCGAGCTCCCCTTGCACTCCTGCTGCTCTCGCCACCAGCCCTGGTGCCCTTGCAACCCCAACTCCAGGCCGACTTCCCGACGCATGCAGTGCCGGACCAGAGCAAAGCCAAGCCAACTGCTCCCACTGGAGTGATGGGGAGATCTTTTCTGGCCTGAGGCTGGACCAAGGGACTCTTGCAGGGGACGTGATTCCGGGGCGCCTAGATTTCTCTCTCCCTTAGAGGTCGCAGCGGAGCCAAGAGCAGCCTGGCTTTAATCCACTCGGGACTTAAAAACATCATCTAATGACTCAAATCTGTCTGAGAACACAGGATGAGCGCATCCATGTTCACAGACCCCGCTGGAACAAATCTTTAATTTTCTGAAGAAAAGTGATTTGAAGTCCAGACTGAATGGCATTTAAGAATTGGGAATTAATTATAATCCTGGAGTGAATAGAAAATTAAACTAAATTGGAGCCCAGAACATGCAGCTTTTTAAGGAAAAAATTTCCCTCTGCAATATTTTCTTTCTCACTGCATTAATTAGTGTCCCTAATGAGACATCTGAGAACACTTAATTGTTAAAATGTTGTCCTAGGACCAGCAGCATTGGCATCACCTGAAAACTTGTTAGAAATATCAGTTCTGGGCCCCACCTCAGACTCCTGGACTCAGGATCTCTGGATGGTGGAGGTGTCCAGGTGATTCTGAAGAACCACTGGCTTAAAAGTCTCCTTGGTCAGTGTTTTCTACTAATCAGTAAATATATAGAGTCAGCAGATGCTGGAGCTGTTTATCACTTCTCTTTTTAGAATGAAGTCTCTGTTTGACAGTGGGAAAGCCTGCTAGAAGGATACTGAGTTGCTTTTAAAGTCACATAAGCAATGAGAGAGAGAGAGAGAAAGAAAGAGAGAGAGGACTTCCCTGGCTGCAGTCCAGATTGGATATCTGTCTGCTCCTGAGAACTTGCAGACTCACTTACTTGAAACACTTCATTCTCCGTTCAGGCGTCTGTAAGCGGCTTTGGTTGTTCTCCTGGTTCTTTCTAAAAGCACCTTCTAAGATGGTTTTCATAACCTAGAGGTCACAGGCAGGATATTCCCCACCCTTAACACTTCCCCAACCTCAAAACTATGCCGGCTGGAGGCCAAGGGAGTCCCCCACTCTTTCCATGAAGCTGCTCACCCCTTATTCAAATAGAGACACACCAACTACCTGGAGCAGGGTAGACTGGGAGTTTTACCCTTCTGGACCAGAGGAGAGAGACCTGTGGTGGGTGTGGGTGGGCTAGTGATCTGGCATTTGAGAAGGGACCATGGAGAAGGAGAGATGTTTAGACTGTGGGTATATGTTGGAAGCATGTGTGGTGTGGTCACGTTGTCATGTTACTGGGCTAGTGGCAACCACCACCCAGTTATTCCCACCTTGATCCTCACTCCATTCAGTGGATGCCTATGGGGACCTGAGTGTCCAGGCCCCTTCTTGGCTGAGGCTCCTGATGGGACTGGGCAGCCTTATCACTAGACACCAGTGTCATCCTATCTGCAGGTACCAAGCCCTGACTTTGTTCTCTGAATTTTTTTGGATTTCTATAAAAAGGTCACAATGGTAAAAAGCTCTGGATAAACTTACAGAACACTGGGGAGAGGTGCAAGGTGAGAGACAGAAAGAGAGAAAAGAAAGGGTCAGTAGACACCCAAAGGAGATATTTTAGTTCATGTAAAAAAAAAAAAAAAAAAAAAAAAAACCCAAAACCAAAAAAACATTGCCTGCATGATATAAACACACACCCTTTTGAGTTTCCTGCCTGAGATACTTCCAGTTTGGGTCCAGGCACAGATAGTTCACTACCTGCCACTTGGTAAAAGTAACTGACATTTGCATGGAGCCTTTTCTTTACCAAGGGATTTTACAGATATAATCTCATTTGAGCCCCACTAAGCCTTTCTAAGATGGAAGAGGAAGGTCTGCATATAATGGTTATTATCATTCTCATCACCTTTATCCCTGCTTGCAGAGATGGGAAAACTGAGGATCCAGGCTCTTGCAAGAAACAGCTGGCTGGATGCAGAACCAGGGTCAAATCTACGTGTTTCCTGTTCATAGCCCCACACCTCCTGCCTAGAGCAAAGGCTTCAAATTATAGATAAGGAACTGTAGATAGCCATGAAGACTTTCAAAAATCTATGCGTAGATGGGGTTGTAAGAGAATGAGCAAGAAAAAGTTGTTTCTTTATGGACGGCCTCCTTGGAATGCTCAGAATTTAGAGCATTTGGTTTGTAAAAACGTCAGTGGGAGATTGGAAAATTTGCAAAAAGTGGAAGTCAAACAATTGAATCATACTGGGGACTCTTTGATTTGAACTCTGGATAGGTTGAGGCCTGGGCTCGATCCCTCTGCTAGAAAGGACAGAACACACGAATTTCAGGAAAGGGGCTCTGATCAGAGCTTGAAATGTTCTTGAAAGTCAAGTTGGGATGATGGAAAGGTATCCTGACATCTTGAAAAGTCCTCCATGTGCAAATGGACAGGTGGTTGAAGTCACCAAAGTTCTCAGCCCTTGGAGAATGGGGAATTGTGCTTGGTAATGTGGTCATTACCCCTTGGTAATGAGGTCACTATCACTGACAGAGAGCACACCTGGCAGAGCAGCTCTCCAGTCGGGACCAGCCTCTCGGGCTCCTTCCTCCAACGGCACTAAGAGGGCTCCACCCGCGATGCGACCTGTGGGGTTGGTGGTAGGGCGGAGAAGCGCTCGCTCCAGGTACCAAACGAAGCCGAGAAAAAAGGGGAAAAAATCGAAAAGAAAGAGCAAATGAAGCGGAAGTTTCAAGGCTCTCTGCGAGGAATAACAGTATAAATAACTGAAGACGTCTTGTAAACACTGCGGTCATAACCCCGAACATTAAACAGCCCCGGTGGCATCTGGCGCATCGGCAGCCGCGGGCTGCGCTGGGGCAGTGAGGGAGCCCGGTCCCAGGCTCCTCGGCCTTGCTTCTCTGTTTATCTCAACTTAATCTTCCCCTAGGAGCTGTTCCGTAGCCTGGAAAATGTTTAAATTAAACCCAGTCCGCCGGAAGTCGTGGCGGGAGTTAAACGCACCCGATAACTGCAACCATGCGGCATGCGGGTTTATCATTAGAATTAATTAATGGATTATTAATAAGAAATGTAGATATTGTATGCTGCAGAGCTTTAAAAATCGTGAAACACATCCTAAGGGGTATGGAATTTAAATCTTTCATAGATTCTGTGATTTCCTCCCCAGTTTGCAGCCATGCCCACACCTCCTGGAAGGTGACAGAAGGTGGAGTCTACGTTCTCGCCCATGTCAGCAGCCGTACTGTGGAATCCGTGAAAACTGGATTTCCTTTTTCTGGTGCGTTTTTACTCTTGAACTGTGTACTGTGAATAACTTTAATACTGCCCATTCTTTGTTTGCAGTTATATAATTTCTATTGGCCTTAAAAGTAACTGAAATATTTCTTTTTTAAGGTTTCAGTATAAAACGTAATCTGCATCTTCATTATGAAACTCATATTCAATTTTCTTTTGTCTCTCGAAGTTTAGATTGAGGTTTAAAAGAACGATTTTCATTATCAAGCTTCCCCGCAGTTTCCCAGTTTTCCATTCCAAATACGTTTAAAAATCACACCAAATGTCAGAGCTTTTAGCAATATAGAGAAAGATTTATTTTCAAAAGTAGCAAAACTTGTTTGAAAAAAATATATATCTTTAAGTGACTTACTTTATAAATGTGACTGTCAAAGTCAGCTATTCTATGATCTACATTTTACAACATATTGTACAAAAGATACATTGATAAGCTCTTATCTATTTATATATTTATAATTACATATTGCACTTGGACCAGCAAGGCTTGCAGAGTCATTCACGGTAGAAGTTAATAAAGTTAAATAGATGGGAATCTTTGTAAGTACAATTGATCTCCTCTGGTTTGGAAACGAATCTCCTCGTCGTTGTAAAGGGTTCCCGCGGGTGGGACAGAGAGAGGAGCGTTGCGAGGGGGAAGCAGAGACAGAGAGCAAGGAGGGCAGGGGTCGCCTTCCCGGCGGGGCCCGCTCCCCGCCGGGAGCGCGCCTTTCCCAGACTAGCACCTCCAAGGTCAGGACGCGGTGGTTCCACATAAGCGGCTCGCGGTCACCACTTCTTTCAGGTCACTCTCGGGTTTCCCGGCCACCATAAAGGGCCACGTCTGCGGGAAAGAAGAGGGTGGAGGAGGTAAGTGGCGGTGGCGGAGGAGGTAGGGTGGGCTCGGGGCCAGAGATGAAAGGAGGGGGCGCGGTGCGCTGGAGAGACCCTTTATCTCTGCTGTTTCTTCCCCATCCTAGCGCGGCCCCCTACTAGGTAAAGCAAAAAGCCGCCCTGTCGCCAAGTCACAGCTCGAGAAGGTGCTGGTGGTGGTCTTTTAGAATGAGGGCCAAAAGTGCTCATACTGGGTTCCTTGCGAGACCCAATGCAGGAAGCCTTGGGCAAGCCGAGAATGGGTGGTGCTGTGGCACTGCCTGGAGGCAGACGCACTGGCAGCCTAAGCCGGGAAGCCCAGAAGGATCTTGTGCCTGCTGGGCACTGAGTTCGGGGCGAAGCCCCTCCTGGCCCCTCTTCTGAGTCGCGGTCGGGTTTCAGGGCCCTGTCGATTTCCTAGCCTTTCATCGCCTTCTGTTTCCCTGGTCCCGACTTTCGTTTCTTTCATCGCAAACACTGGTTTTGACTACAGCTTCTAAATTAACCATCATGTCTTAAGGAAAATGAAAATAAAAAAGCTAATAAAACTACATCGACTTTTAATTTAAGATCGTCTTTATGAGGGACTGAGAAAGCATGCTTTCTCTTCCTTTCTCCAGGCTGTTTTATAATAAAGCTCATTTAAGTTTCTTATTCAAAAATGAGGAGAGTAGCACTTGTAAAAATTCTAGGCAACACTTTCATTTTAGGTGCAGATTTTACAAAAGCTATTTACTCATTGAAAAAAAAAAAAGTCCCAAACTTTCAATTGGAGGGAAAACCATTTTTCATGGCAAAATATGGTTTTGTCTCTTCTCCCGCGATTCCAGAAATCAGTTCAGTGAGAAGACAATTCAGGCCTCTCTCACTAGTGCTCTAGTGCTGGCTGATAAGACTTGCCTTTTAAGAGGAAAATCTCTCGTTCTTATCATATACAAACAGAGGTCCTAGTAAGTTGTTGTTATTGTTTTTTCTTTAGATCTTAGAAGTTTTAAAATAAAATCCAGTGAACAAGGAATTAAAATATATTTCTTAAAGAGTAAAATGCATTTGAGAAAAAAAGACTCAATGATTATTAGCTTTGTTATATTTAAAAAGTTAGGCTTAATGGGCATTATTTTTTAAGATAAAAGGTAACATTTCTTAAATCTTGGATGAGAGTGACCTATTTTAATATTTATTACACTCATACTAGTGAGAATTTACTGATTTTGCTGATAATTACTAGAGCTTCTAGGATTTAAAAATATTAATTCACTTAGGAGAAGCGCAGAATAAGTAGTTGGGGGCTTACATGGACAATTTGGGGAGAGGGGGAAGGGATGGATGTGTCCTTATCTAACAGTCCTGTTTATTTACAAGGAAAGGAAAATCAAGTTCCATTCTCAGCTAAAAGAAGAATAAAAGGATTAATAAAATGCCTCCTCGGCGCTCAGTGTCTTGTCAGTTTCTCAGTTTCTCAGCAGCCACTCCACCCCAGCGAGAGTGGCGATGGAGAGGGCGCGGGGGATCCCTCCTCTGTGCCAGCTCAATACACTTGCAAACCTTTAATTGGGCTGCCACGTCAAACCCTCGCATAAATCACTCCCGCTCCGGGGGCTGGTAGGGCCAAGAGCGAGGGCCGTGTCTAGACCGCCCGCCTCCGGTCCCTGGAGGCTCTAGGCCCGCGGTGGCCGAGATGTGTAAGCCACCGTCGCGCCCGCACCCCCACTCCCAGCGCCGCGAGCACTCGCGCCCACCGCAGGCGGGACTGCTGGCACGCCCGGGCTGCAGCTGCAGTCCCGGGAGCACTCACCAGGTTGACCGGGTGGATGTACCCGTTCTCGTACTTGTCGTTAGCCAGGATCTGCCTCAAGTGGGCGATGTAGCTGGACGCCAGCCTGAGCGTGTCCAGCTTGGAGAGCTTGGTGTCCGGGGGCACCCAGGGTAGGGTGGTCTTGAGCCTGGAGAAGGCCTTGCTGAGCACCCTCATGCGGGCCCTCTCCCGCGCGTTGGCCGCGTTGCGCTGGACCTGCTTCCCCTCCTGGCTGACCCCACTCAGGGGGCTCTTCTTGGTGGGCGCCTTCCTCCTCTTGCCCAGGCCGCCTCGGCCCTTTTGGGGAGACCCGTTTTCGCAGTTGGAGCTCTCCTCGGTGCTCTCGTTGGAAGTCACAAACTCCTTGTTCGAGTCCATTTTCAGTCCTTCACATTCCAACATTTCCACCTCTTGAAGGTCCTCCACATCGCTGAGGGAGCCGGTGGACATGTTTGGAGGAGTAGAGGAGAGAGAGAGAGAGAGAGAGAGAGAGAGAGAGAGAGAGAGAGACCCTGAAACCAAGGGGCCTCCCGCGTGTGGAGCAGCCACCTCCTGTTGGGTGCTGGAGTTCGGGTCTGGTTGGGTCTTACAGCCCTTTCCCCTTCGCAGACTTGTGAGAAGGAACCTCGAAGGCTTCTGCCGCAGAGGAACCGGCTCTCTGTTTCCCCACTCCTGGAGTCGCGGCCGTAGAGGAGTGTGAGCCAGCGCTGAGGAATTTGGTGGACACTAGGAATTTATCTGGGGAATAGAGGGGCGGATCCTTGCAGCCCAGGGGAGGGGCCTGCCAGGCCCCAGGAAAGCGCTTAGACCCCTTTAACAACCAGAGGGAAACTCACTCACAGACCCAGATTTGTAATTTGTAATATAAGTCAACTCAGCTGCATCATGCACTTACTGGCCACCTTCTCCTAGCTTTGGCCGGGGCGAGGTGACGCAGGTCCTATTCATCTCTAAAAGGTCTTCTTTAATTCTTAAGAATCACAACTGATTGTTACTAAGAACTTTAGAAAAAAGACCAGCTCCTTTGGCTCTTTCTGGGCCTTCCACCTACGAATTTCACAAGCACTCCATGTGCTCTCTCCTCCCAAGAAAAAAAAAAATAATAATAATTAAAACACAGGGAGTACCAATCACATCCTGCAAACACCTCATAAGACTCCAAGGCTTTACCAAGATCTCCATCCCTTTCCCGGGATCAATGAAGAAGACAAGTGCTTCAGAGAATCTCTACAGTGATGGAAAAGTGAGCATAAAAAATTTCATCTACACCCGGTCATTTTCAAGACATCAAAGAACTGCCTATGTGTACACAAACGTACTTGATTTGCACACTCAGACCCAACCACTCACAGATTAGCGGGAGTGGGTAGGGAATGAGATAGGGCAATATGAGTGAATGTGTGGAAAACATTTTGTTAGTTGATCATCTTTTCCACATAAACGAAAACTTTCCCTTCATTTTTTTTTTTCTAGAAATGCATTTAATATTGCCTTAGGAGTCTTAGTTGCTCCCAGAAATCATCTTGCCTGGCCCTTTTTGTGATGTGCCCTCCCTCCCAATGCTGCTGCCTTTACTTCTTCCATGCTCTTTGCTGCCAGAGTTCTTCACATGAAGCTGACATTATAAAACAAAGCAAGATTATCCTTTTGGGAAAGGGTCTTACCCATCTTTAACCCCAGCTCTAGCCATCTTTCCTAGAGAATAAGGAAGTCTTCTGGGAAGTAGGCAGAAAAGCACAAGGAACCAGAACTAAGGGACTGGATGAAATTGATGCAATGAAACCAGGGAGACTGAAGGCATAAATCTCGCTTACTATTTCTTTGACAGGTTTTCTTTCCTTATGGGTAGGCATTGAAGATGAGGGTCGCTAGAGCCAAATGTAAGAGTGGTTTCTGAGTGGTTGGCTCAGGGTCTGAAGACTTCTCCTGCATTAAGATATCGTATCTCTAATCCTAGGCTCAGCTGGGAATTCACTAAGCTCTAACGTTTTGTTTTGCTAGCAGGGTCTTGTTTGCTTTCCCCCTATGCTGTAAACTAAACAGGTTGTCAGCAAATCAGTCTTTATTAATGAATTAGTGACCCTTCTTCCATAATATCTTCGCTGAGGATCCAAAATTTGTTAATCACCAGTGTAGAGATTTATGAGCTCTCTTATTTTCTGTTGTTTGTGCAGGTGGAGATTTAAATGACCACATCTACCCTAAGATTTATTGCGAGAGTGATTGATGTTATAAACCAGGAAAAGGACTCTTCCCACAGCAGGGATGATAGAAATATCAACTTGAAGTTGCCTTTGTCTTCATGTACAAATGACCCGTACTACAACGCAGAAAATAGAATAATTTAATCTGAGGTTCAAGACAACCATAAGAGAACACCCAACAGGCCTGTTAACAATTTTTCTGCTTATTCCCTGACTGGTTTCCTTTGATTTGCTCTCCCTTTTCTCAGTCTTGGTAAGATGTGAAAGTTACAGTTATTTTTAGACTAAATAACTATGTGAAAATGGGCATTGGCCAATACTTTGTGAAGTGTGTGTGTGTGTCTACTGAAATATCTGCAAAATAACTACAAATAATTAATTTGGGCTCTAGAATGTGATAATAATTACAAATCCAAACTATGGCTTTACTACATACTGGGCTATTAAGCTGTGATTTTCTTGTTGGAGTCACTTTTTTGTTTTCTGTTTTTGGCTCTGGGTCTCTGTTATATCTTAGTTAATTGACTGCTCAGGCTCTTTGAGGGGATAGTAACAATCATAGTAATATGTACCACTGAAAAGATTTCTGTTGTCTATATATTTTTCAATGTCGAGAAGTGAAAAGTAACAATTTCTGGAAGTGTGCAAAATTAGTCTCATGTCACAGGCTGGTTTTTATGCTTAGCAATTTTTAAAATAGCCATATAAGCAATAATTAAGTCCCCTGTCCATTTATCTTGCAGTGAGACATTTAGGCTGAGAAAGGCTAGTGGGCTATTATTAAATTTTGGAGTGTTTCTAAAATTCTGTAAAGGATGGAAAGATGTGAAGAATACCGTCGCTTATGTATCTTGATATGAAGCCTTGGAGAAAAAATATTCACATGAAAAATATTTTTTTCTTTTACAATTTTGTGTCTATCCCTGCTAATAAACACTCAGGGGCAACTGGGTGGGGGAAATGGCTTCTTGTTGCATTCTACTGAGCACAGCAGTTAAGCTGTAACTTAAGCTGTGCCAAATTCTCCCAAAATATAAACTATATTCTGTGAGAAGAGAAGCACTTCTGAGAAGCTGTATTAACCCTTTTGGTACGCTGACTATTTCTGTTCCAAAGCACAAAACAGAAAACTAGTGATTTGAAAGTATGAGATCATTTCTAAAAGTTCTTACCTGACTTTTAAGAAACAGTTATGCCCCAGAGGTATCTGGCCAATTTGCTGCTCACTTCTAACAATTTGTTTTGCAAGAAAGACTATCTTTGAAAGATTTTAGTGCTAAGGAAATTTTATCTCCTAAAGCTGTAAAATGAAGATTAGGCATGGAATGTACCCTTGAACTTAAATCCCGGTTTATCAACTGATACATTTACAGGAAGTTCAAATTTGATTCAGTTGCACTTGGAGGGAATAATTTGCTTCCTTTTTTATGAGAAGGAATACATCACAGGCTTCTTTTGAAGTGACTTCATATGCCATTACATAATCCTTCTCAGGGGAAAAATATGCCTTTAAATTCAAATTTTAATCCTTTTTTCTTACTCCTCATTATTTGATCTGGAGACACATAGGCAAATTGACAAAACTGCCCCTTCTCTCATTCTCTTTTTTCTTCATTTCTAATTAGCATCTTCAGATATTTTATTGTTTTGTTTGATGGTAACTACCACCACTTCAAATATTTGCTGACTTTCTATGCAAGTTGGTGCCTTTTTTTTTTTTTTTTTTTTTTTTTTGAGATAACAGTCTCTTTTGCCCAAGCTGGAGTGCAGTGGTATGATCTAGGCTCACTGCAACCTCCACCTCCTGGGTTCAAGCAATTCTGCCTCAGCTTCCCAAGTAGCTAGGATAACAGGTGCCCTCACTATGCCTGGCTAATTTCTGTATTTTTAGTGGAGATGGCCAGGCTGGCTTCAAACTCCTGACCTCAGGTAATCGACCCATCTTGCCCTCACAAAGTACTGGGATTACAGCATGAGCCACTATGCCTAGCCCAGTACCTCTTTTGATTTTACATAATTATCTCTGTACCCTTTGTTTGCTGCTGATTGTTTTCTATCTCCCACTTACACATCTGTCAAGATCTGACTTTGTTTCATTAAATTTTAACTTTACTTCATAAAGTGAGCATTACCTCTCTTTGCTCGTTTTAAATTATAGTGGTGCTGGCCTGTCATATTTTGGCAGCCAAAGTAAATATGGCACTAGTGAGCTTGGTGGTTAGCTAAGAGGGTCAATAATGGTGATGCTGGGTGTTGCTATCTTTACCTGGCACCAGTGAAGGGACAGTATAAATCCTGGATGGTATAAATCCATTCAGTAGTCAGAAGTCTGCATGTTCATTATACCCTAACCCCCTCTTCTCCCATTTAATTCAATGAATTGTAGATAAGATGCCACAGCATTAAGATTTAAAGCTGGCAAATAACAACAATAAAGTCTAGAGAAAGATTCTTCATGGTTCTTTGAATCCAAGAGTTAATCTTGCTTATCGGGTGTTCCATAATACAGCTTTGAAAGCAGCCAGGCCTGTGCACTTGAAAGTCAGAGTTTACCCATGAGGTGTAAGTGGATGGGAGAAAACTTGGCAGACAAAGAGAATTAAAAATTTTGCAAAGCCAGTTTAATGTCTTCCTAAGTTTTCTAATACTAAATAACTTTATTAGACCCTCTTGATATTAGCAAAGAGAGAGAAAAAGACTGAGCCACTCATGAGTCAGGTACTATGCAGGGAACTTTGCCTCCATTCTCTTGTTCTGTGTATTTTCTCTCCTTCTTTTGGCACTGCTAGAAAAAGAGCTGCCACATGAAATGAATACTGTATTAGAAATGTATGCCAGAGGCTTTCCCCTGTAATGAAGCCTTAGAAAAACTGGCTTGAGTGATGACTATTACGTATCTTAAAATAAAGCTTAAAAGGAAAACCTCCCAAGTTTTTCCCAAAATAATAAATCTTTTAGGTTGTATGGAGACCCCTGTAATGCACTTACATGTTAAATATAGTTTATTGATGGGCATAAAAAAATACAGGCCAACTTGCTGTCAGCCTCCTTCTTGTGAGCTTGGGAGAGTACGGACACTGGAGTCAAAGGCTTCGTGTGATTATCTCTTTGTGATTATTTCCTTGTGGCAGGTGCTTTCAGCTTCAATGAGCCAAGAGTTGCAGAGTTTAGATCTTAGAACCAGCAGGAAAATTCTGAGTGTGAATCCTGATTTTAGGAAGGTGAAATATTTCCAGGTAATGAAGCATTTTAAAATGGAGACACAAACTAATAGTTTGTCAGAATTGGATGAGGTGGAGGACCAAGGACGCAATAAATACTCACGAATTCTGTTCCCATGAGGTGTCAGGGACAGTACTGCCCACCTGACTCTGTGTCCTGATTTGCCTCTTAATATGCCTTCCACTAAGCCATGTTGACTTTAATGGTTTTTGCTGTTTGAATAATCATAGTAAATCTGAGAAAGCTTCTATTCTGTGATTCCCTATTTAGAATATGTAATAATTGATCCCTGAATTATACAAAGCGAGATGGACTTGAGCTGTCCTGGAATATAATGCTTAGAACCCTAAAATGATTTAAGTAATGTGAATGCCAGAAGGACTTTGTTAAAATGAAAATCTCATCTCTACCATAGAAACCTGATGAGCCATCCGAGGGCCGCCTATTCAATTAACACATCCCCAAATCTGCCCTCTTCTCACCATCTCCTCTGCTAAACACTGGATCAAGTCAGTAAAGTCACTCAGATGATTACAGCAGTCTCTTAGAGGGTCTTTTTGTTTCCATATTTGTCCTCTTAAAATCTATTGGCAATGAAGTGGTTCAAGTCATTCCCCTGCTTAAAATCTCTTAAAGTTTCCCATTGTGTTTAATATAAAATCCACACTTCCTATTAGTGGCTTGCATGACTCTGGTTTGCTTCCTACCCTTTAACCACGCCAGCCATGTCTGTGCCCTTCCAAGACACCACACCTGCGCCTCCCCCAGGACGCTGGCCTTGCTGGTTTTCCTGTTTGGATGTTTGTGCCTGGCTCTCTGTGTGACTGAGACCTTAGTTTGCAGGTCTACGCTCAAGTGTCACTTTCATGTGAGAACTTTTCTGATCATCCAATGAAGAATATTTTTGTTCCATGATTCTATTTTATTTATTAATAATAAAAGCAGTAGCTAACATTTACTGCTTCACACCATACACTGTTGTAAAGCCCTTTCCAGTTTTACAAATTTAATCCTAGTAACAACCTTGTAAGGTAGGAAATTTATAGATGAGAAAACTAAAACACAGAGAAATCGAGAAACTTATTTAATTCATAAAATTAGTGTTCTAGTTGTTTATTGCTGTGTAATACCCCAAATTAGTTACTGAAGTTATTATTATTTCTCTTGGTTCTGTGGGTTGACTGTGCAGCTGGGTGGTTCCCAAGTGGGGACTGTCAGGGTGTGGCAGCCAGAAGGCATCCTATAAAGCTAGAGTCATGGAAAGGCTAGACTACGCTGAACATCAAAGGGGACTTCCTCATTCACACATCCAGGCCTCAGCTGGGATGGCAGGAACAGTTAGTTCTGGGCGAGCATCTCTCTCCAGACAGCCTCTCCACATAGCTTCCTCAACCTGACGATCTTAGGTGGCTGAACTTCTAACATAGTAGCCAGCTTCCTTCAGAGGTAGCATTCCACCAGACCCAGATGGAAGATGGAAGTCTTATGATGTAGCCTTGGAAGTTACACATCACTTCTGCTTCCTTCTGCTGGTCAAAAGTGAGTTCTAGGGCCATCCCAGATTCAAGAGCAAGGTTTATATAAGAATATGAATACTAGGAGGTATGGCTCTGTGGTGGGGGGCGCAGGGTGAGGGTCATCCTTGGAAGTTGGTTACCACAGTGCATAAATGCCAGAGTCTGGACTAATACACAGGCAATCTGACTTGAGCCTTCACTTTAAACTACCATGTTCTGAAGTTATTATTTTTAAAAATTTTGTTTACATTGTTATTATCTCTCTGCCAACCTCTCTCCAACTATAATGAAAGCTTCATGAGTACCGGGACTTGATGTGTCTTGATCAGTTGTGCACTTGGAACCTAGCTGTTGAATAAATGAAAGAATGAATAAATGGATATTTTATTGTTTTAAAAAATCACTCAGCCCCCAATGTTGGATATTTTAGATTTTAACATTTGGAAGGTACACTGTAAACTGTAAAATATAATCATTATTTAGAGTACTGACAAACTTTCAAAACACAGTGACTAAAATAAGCCACAAATTTACTTTTCTCTTCTATATCACTGCAGACCTAGGTAAGTGGGTGACTCTGCTCCATAAGGACACCCAGGGATCTAAGTCTTTTCTGCCTTGTTACTCTCTCATCCTTTGGGGGTTGATGTAAGTGACTAAAGCAGGCTTACCTTCACCAGCCGTGAGGAAGTGGGAAAAAGGGGTGGAAGGCAAGCGAATTCCTTGTAATAATGAGATCTGAAAGTTATACATAAAAGTTCCACCCCTATCCATTAGCCTCTTTAGCTGCAGGGAAGTTGGGAAATATGGTTTCTAAATATGCTGTACTAAAACTTAGGGTTGAGGGAATCGATCAGAAAAAAGAAGAGGAGCCAATTCACAGAATCTGCCAGTGTATTTAAAGCATGAAGGATAAAGTTAACTGTAATTATAAAGACCTGAATCTTTTTTTTGACCCTGATATAAAGTTTACTTTCTGTATAAGTTAGTTTCATTGCTTTTATGCAGACTTCAGTTCTCTGTGAAATTTATGATTAGTCAAAATCTAGTTCTAGTAGGCTTTAGTTCTTATTTGGAGCTCAGGATCAGTTGAAAAACATTTAAAACTCACCTCTGGCTACATGTTTGAGGTCACACACTAATGTGAACCATTCCAACTAATGTTGTCATTAACTTACCTTCAAAACATCAGCCCTATAAAATTACTGTTTTTGAGGCTAGGCCAGTAAAATTGTTTATCTTATATTTACTAGCAATGATTGGCACTCACTAAAGTCCTGCAAGTTGTTTGTTTGATTTCTATTAATCTGATTATACAGCAGGTATAGTTATAGAGTTGAGAGCGAGTGGCAGCTCTTTCTAAAAAAAATGGCTCTGTCACTCAGGCTGGAGAGCAGTGGCACAATCACACCTCCTCTTCCTAAGCAGCTGTGACTAAAACTGTGTGCCACTATGCTTGGCTAATTTTTTAATTTCTTGTAAAGATGAGGTTGCACTATATTTTCCAGGCTGGGCCCAAACTCCTGTACTCAAGCAAACCTTCTGCCTTGACCTTCCAAAGTGCTGGGATTACAGGTATGAGCCCCACACCTGGCCTCACATACTTTCAAGGTTTGATAGTAGTGTGCTGTTTTAGTCAGCATAGGCTGCCATAACAAAATACCACCTGGCTTAAACAACAGAAATTTATTTCTCACAGTTCTGGAGGCTGGAAGTCCAAGATCAGGGTACCAGCATGATTAGGTTCTGGTGAGGGCTCTCTTCCTAGCTGGCAGACAGCCTCCTTCTCACTGTGTCCTTACATGGCCTTTCCTCTGAGTGCATACAGAGAGACAAGCAGAGAGACAGAGAGAGAGAGAAATAGAAATCTCTTCTTATGAGGCCACCAGCCCTACTGAATTACGAACCTCCTTTAAGACCTCATTTAACATAACAAAAATGACTCCTGAAAGTCCTGTCTCCAAATACAGTTACACTGGGGGAATGGGACTTTAACCTGACTTTTGGGAATACACAATTCAGCCCATCAAATTCACAATTAGAAATTATAATAAAAATGCTTTTCCTTTATTATTATTTCCAACTTTCAGCCTATTCAGAATTAAGAGAAGATAGTCCTAGGACTCTTCTGTCATTTGAAGATTTACTGTAGATTTTATACCATTGGCAATGATGGTAACAACAATAAACCTCAGGCATTGGCTGTCTTGATTTTCTTTTTTGAGGAATCATTAGAATGAAGAACTGTACATCTAGATTCATGATCTATGATGAGGGGGGTCATCGTATTCTCATTTCTAAAATTTGCAAAGAGAGAGGAGGACTATTCTTTCGTTAGAAGCTCTAAATCAATTTTAAAGAACCATTAGTAGAATAATTTAGGAATTTTTTATCTAGAGCACTTGAGTATACCACATCACTCCCACACAGAAATATACACGGCTTAGATCACTTCGGTAATAACATTTGCCAAATGATTTTGGGGGTTACTCTATAGACAAAACAAACAGTTAATAGACTGCACTGGGGTCTTTTCAACTGGTCACTTTGACATATTTAAGATAAAGCCAGTATTATTTTAAGTTAGAATGTTAAGCAGATACTATATTTCTTCCTCTCACATGAGTGAGTAAGTAAGTTTTTTCTGCTCTCAACCTAATTGCAAAGCCATCTACAATGAAATAATTTGCCCAGGAAGGGTAAGATTAATACTTCTCAAATGAATTTGAGTGGAAGAGTAAACTAAATATTGGAGGGAAAGTATAAAGCTCACATCCTATCAATTTATAAAACCTGAAAGTCCTTAATAGAATTATGATTTTCTGTTCATTTTATATTTTTCTCTGAAGTTATTGTGGTAGAATAAAATACTCCTGGACTGTGAACCAAAGGGCCAGGTCCACGTTCGGCTTACACATCTAATTAGTTGTATGAACTTGGACAAGCCCTTTAACTTCACTAAGTCTCAGTGTCTTCTTTAAAGTGGTAACAGCAGAAATGGTTCCATAGGGTTAATTGAGATGATGCATACAAAGGGATTTTGTTTAGTGCTTAACATGTAGTAAACATTTATAAATACCGATGTTGTTGTAATGGTAGTTGTTGCCATCTCTTAGGCCCTTTTTAACAGTAAT